CTGGTCCCAGTCTGGTCCCAGTCAGTCCTGGTCTGGTCCCTGTCTGGTCCCAGTCAGTCCTGGTCTGGTCCCAGTCTGGTCCCAGTCAGTCCTGGTCTGGTCCCAGTCTGGTCCCAGTCAGTCCTGGTCTGGTCCCACTCTGGTCCCAGTCAGTCCTGGTCTGGTCCCACTCTGGTCCCAGTCAGTCCTGGTCTGGTCCCAGTCTGGTGGTCCCGGTTTTCTGATCACCCAACAGTCTACACGGGCACACGTCTGGGCCAGTCCTGGTTTAGTTCTGGTTTAGTCCTGGTTTAGGACTGAGACCAGAACTGAGACTAGGACTGAGACCGCTTTAGACCTGGTTTAGACCTGGTTTGGACGTGTTTTAGTCCTGGTTCAGTCCAGCATTGCAGTTTAAGTCATGGGAAAGGGAAACGGCTGTTATCCATTTTTTCCATTATTCATTTAAATAAAGAATTGAAAAGTGAAAAAACTAATAGTTCTCTGTTTTTTCATTTTGGTTTTGGAGACAAACCAAAAAAGACAATATCTGTTTTTTCGTTTTCTTATTTTTAGTTTTATTTTGAAAAACAAATGAACAAATGATACACGGATTGTTTGGCATTATCAGTACTTTTTACTTCAGCCTAAACCCTTTTGGTCATGATCCATGGGACTGTAGTCTATGTTTTGTTTTGTTTCCAGGTCTGTTTGTGATGAGGAAACAACATTATAACATAGATCAGAAAATAGTGTTATATGAATTCTTTAAAGGTGCACCGTGTAACCTTTCTGGCATGCAAAAATATGTTTAACCTGTAATAGGACGGCAAAATCAAATCAAATTTTTTTTTAAATTATTATTTTTTTATTTATAATTTGTCACATCCACAATAAGACAGACTTAACTAAACACGCATAAAAAAAAAAAAAATAAAAAATAATAATAATAATAATAAATAAATAAATAAATAAAATAATAATAATAATAATAATAATAATAATAATAATAATAATAATAATAATAATAATAATAATAATAATAATAATAATAAGGATAAATAAATAAAATAAATAAATAATTCAATAATAATAATAATAACAATAATAAAATCTAAATTTTAATGGATGCAATTAGTAAATCACAAATTGTTTGGCTGTAACTTGGAATGTACCACAGTATGGCATTAAACTATCTCCATGCAAACTTCTGTCAAAGCCCCTACACACAAAATTCTAAGTTTTTCTCGTTATGAAATCATCCAGTTACCATGACCAAGTTACAGGTCTGATCTGTGGAGAGGCGCCCAGACTCACAGCTATAATACATGTTTCTCGTGATATTGTTTCCAGCAACAACAACAAAAAAAATCATAGTGAATGTGACTCACCAACTACTGCAGATGATCAAATGTTTAATTATAGCTTGAAAAACAGAATTCTTAGTATAATTTCTGTAATTTCTGTTTGCAGACTTCTGGTTTGGCAGTTTTAAATGATGTATTATAGCTAAGATGTTATTGTTTTTGTACCGAAAATGACAAAATACCTCGCTGTACGATTGTTTTTTTTCCTTTTTTCCTTTTTATTCTGGCTGAAAATGGAAAGCCTATGTTGCAATCTGTTAATGATACGAGGAGAACATGCAAATTCCACACAGAAAAAGCCCGATTTATCTGGGAATTGGACCAAAAAGCCACAAAACTTTTCACTAAACTCCTAAACACTAGATAATGTACACATCCACTGATTATATTACAGAAACGAGCTTTGCGAATCATCCATAAAGTTGTTTTTTTAGAACACACCTATAATCAGTGTTGGGGAGTAACAGATTACATGTACTGGAGTAATCAGAGTACAAATTATGAGTAACTGTATTCAGTTACAGTTACTGTTTCAGTGAGTGGTAATTGGATTACAGTTACTTTGTTGAAATAAATGGATTACACAGAGATATTTTCCTGATTTCACATTTTGGGCTAAATCCCCACCTTTTTTTTTTCTCTGTAATTCCACTCATTGCAGGAAACTAAACCAGGTCTAAACTAGATCTAAACCAGGTCTAAACCAGGTCTAAACCAGGACTAAACCAGGACTAAAACCAGGACTAAACCAGGACTAAACCAGGACTAAACCAGGACTAAACCAGGACTAGGACTAAAACCAGGTCTAAACCAGGACTAAACCAGGACTAAACCAGGTCTAAACCAGGACTAAAACCAGGTCTAAAAACTAAACCAGGACTAAACCAGGACTAAAACCAGGTCTAAACCAGGACTAAACCAGGACTAAACCAGGACTAAACCAGGACTAAACCAGGTCTAAACCAGGACTAAACCAGGTCTAAACCAGGACTAAAACTAGGACTAAAACCAGGTCTAAACCAGGTCTAAACCAGGACTAAACCAGGTCTAAACCAGGACTAAACCAGGACTAAACCAGGTCTAAACCACTAAACCAGGACTAAACCAGGTCTAAACCAGGTCTAAAACCAGGCCTAAACTAGGACTAAAACAGGACTAAAACAGGATTTAACAGGACTATGCTGTGTGGACGTGTCTCTTCTTCTATCACTAATATTTTTAATACGGTTCAGTAAAGTCTGGGCTTTTTATTTTCTTTTATCAGGCAAAACATCTTAAGTTACGATATCCTCATCTTTGCTTCTCTACAGCAAACCAAGTAATCCAAAGTATTCAGATTACGTTACTCACTTTAAATAATTTAATGGATTACGTTACAAACTACATTTTGGTGTATGTAATCTGTAATCTGTAGGGGAATACATTTTAAAAGTCACCTTCCCAACACTGCCCATAATCTTTTTATTCAATCCAAGCTCCTCAAGATTCCTGAACCTGTACAATATTATACACTGGTAATTGTATTCAGAACATACAATAATTTACTACCACGTAATATTCAAAGCTTGTTCAAAATGAGAGGGTATGGAAATGTCAAATTGCCTAATGTTTGAACAACCCGTAAAAGTTTCTGTGTGTCTGTATGTGGTGTAAAACTCTGGAACCGTCTGGATACACGTCTCAAGCAACGCCAAAATATCCACAAATTCAAGTTGTTGTATAAACATATGGTCTGGTCACAGTATTTGGAGAGTGGAACATAATATTTGAACAATACTATCTTTGTAGCGCTGGTTTATGTTTGTTGTTTTCTTACCATTTTTCGTTATATTACTTATATTTGTTGTTTCTTACCATTGTCTGTATCCAGTGTTGGGGAGTAACAGATTACATGTACCGCCGTTACGTAATCAGAGTACAAATTATGAGTAACTGTATTCCCGTTACAGTTACTGTTTCAATGAGTGGTAATTGGATTACAGTTACTTTGCTGAAATAAGTGGATTACAAGGCGGTATTTTCCTGTTTTCACATTTTGTGCTACATCCCATTTATTTATTTTTTATTTCGGTAATTCCACTCATTGCCGGAAACCCAAACAGAACGCGACAGTAAGAGCGATGGAAACGTCATGTTAAAGTTGGCGGTGTCAGTCACACAGTGGAAGCAGCAGTGCATTGGTAAAAACGCATTTGTGTCTTGGAAATTCTTCTCCCGATGTGAGATAAATATAAAAAAAACAAATATAAAATCACCTACAACTTAAATGTGAAACAGGAGCTACTGGCACTGGTGAAAACAACCTGCATAGACTCATAATATCTGCACACTGTCCATAACACAAACATACAAACACACAAACACACACAAACACACACAAACACAAACACAAAACACACACAAACACACACACACAAACACACACAAACACACACAACACACACACACACACACACAAACACACACAAACACAAACACAAACACACACAAACACACACACAAACACACAACACACACAAACACACACAAACACACACAAACACACACAAACACACACACACAACAACACACACACACACACACACAAACACCTTCATCATTGTCATCAACCTGAGAACCCGCGGACCACGTCTCCTTCCGTAGTTACAGTGCGTGGACACCGACGTCTCGTGCGCCGCGTGTGGACCGTGTTTTCTCGCGTAAACCACGCCTCTAAACCAGAACTAACACCAGGAACCAGGACTAAACCAGGACTAACCCAGGACTAAACCAGGACTAAAGCAGGACAGCAGGACTGAACCAGGTTTAAACTAGGACTAAACCACGACTAAACCAGAACTAAAGACCTGGTCTAGACCTGGTCTAAAACCAGGACTAAACCAGGACTAAACCAGGTCTAAACAACATGACACCTAACAGTAGGTTGACATAATTTAAGGTGATCTCATGTAAAAAATAATTTCTCTATCAATAATATTTTTTAATCTGGTGAAGGAAAGGCTGATCTTGTTTCTGTCTTTTAACAGACAAAACCTCTTATATTCAGATCTCGTGGTCTTTGTTTCTCTACAGTAAACAGTTGTTTATTCATGGAGATTTGGGCTCAGACAATTTGAAGACAACAAACAAGAATTTTCAGGATGTGGTTGCTACATTCATGTCGTTTAAAAAAACATGACAATATCAAGTAATCCAAAGTAATCAGATTACGTTACTCACTTTAAGTAATTTAATGGATTACGTTACAAATTACATTTTGGGGGTGTGTAATCTGTAATCTGTAGGGGATTACATTTTAAAAGTAACCTTCCCAACACTGTCTGTATCCTTAACTTTACCATTGTTGGTTTGCAGTCAAGCTATAACAGTGACTCTTTGTCTGCTTGTAAATAGTTCATATAGTTTCATTCAAAATGTCTGAAAAACGCAAAAGAAAAAAGCTCATTGTGTTAGATTATGAAGAGCAGGGGTGGGATTAAATAAGTTTTCTTCTTCCCACTCCTTTTTTGGGCAAAATAATAATAATAATAGTAATTTTTTGTTGTTATTTTCATTTCTATTATGATTTCACTAATGTTATATGTTCCATTGTATATCATTACTTGCTCAAAATAAATGCATAAATAAAATAATAATAGTAGTGTTAGTATTTACCTGTTTGTCGGTCGTAGAGTCCTGCTGTTGCCACGATGACGTCCTCCCTCCAGCGCTGGCCTCACACTGGCTCCTCCGCTCCTCCTCGTCTGTGTTTAAACGCAAAACAATTTATTTTAACCAAACACTTCCAGGTTAGGTAAGCACCGAGTCGCTCCTCTGTTCTATTGTGATGTTGACAGTGCAAATAAGAAAACGTGGGCTGAAGGAGCGAAGCTACAGCCTCGGGTTATGTACTTGGATATTTCCAGTTGAGCAATGAAAACAGCTATAAATGAAATGAACTTTGAATGACCCGTGATGAACTTTTAGTGGCAAGAAGAAAAGTTACGCAGTGCACCTTTAAAGGACTTATGTTGCTCTATTTTCTGATCTGTGTTATAATCAGTGTTGGGAAGGTGACTTTTAAAATGTAATCCCCTACAGATTACAGATTACATACACCAGAATGTAGTTTGTAACATAATCCATTAAATTACTTAAAGTGAGTAATGTAATCTGAATACTTTGGATTACTTGATTTGCTGTAGAGAAGCAAAGACCAGGATATTGTAACATAAGAAGTTTTGTCTGATAAAAGGAAATAAAAAGTCCAGACTTTCTTTAACCGTATTAAAAAAAATATTATTGATAGAAGAAGAGGAAACACGTCCGCGCAGCATGATTTAGTCCTGTTAAATCCTGTTTGAGACATTAGTTTAGACCTGGTTTAGTCCTGGTTTAGTCTTGGTTTAGACCTGGTTTAGTCTTGGTTTAGTCCTGGTTTAGATCTGGTTTGGGTCCTGGTTTAGTCCTGGTTTAGTCCTGGTTTAGTCTTGGTTTAGTCCTGGGTTAGATCTGGTTTAGACCTGGTTTTAGTCCTGGTTTAGTCCTGGTTTAGTCCTGGTTTAGTTCTGGTTTAGTCCTGGTTTAGTCCAAGTTTAGACCTAGTTTAGACCTGGTTTTAGACCTGGTTTAGATCTGGTTTAGACCTGGTTTTAGTCCTGGTTTAGTCCTGGTTTAGTCCGAGTTTAGACCTGGTTTAGACCTGGTTTTAGTCCTGGTTTCAGTCCTGGTTTAGTCCTGGTTTAGTTCGAGTTTAGACCTAGTTTAGACCTGGTTTTAGACCTGGTTTAGATCTGGTTTAGACCTGGTTTTAGTCCTGGTTTAGTCCTGGTTTAGTCCGAGTTTAGACCTGGTTTAGACCTGGTTTAGACCTGGTTTTAGTCCTGGTTTCAGTCCTGGTTTAGTCCTGGTTTAGTTTAGACCTAGTTTAGACCTAGTTTTAGACTTGGTTTTACACCTAGTTTAGACCTGGTTTAGACCTGGTTTAGTGTCCGGTAATGAGTGGAATTACTGAAAAGGAAAAAAAAAAGAAAAAAATCTGAAAACAGGAAAATACCACAGTGTAGTCCATTTATTTCAACAAAGTAACTGTAATCCAATTACAACTCACTGAAAACAGTAACTGTAACTGAATACATAATTTGTACTCTGATTACATAACTCCGGTACATGTAATCTGTTACTCCCCAACACTGAGTATAATGTTGTTTCCTCATTAAAACATACCTGGAGTTGTGTGTTGTTGTTTTTTCATTCACACAAATCCTGCAGTTTTAGGCTTAGTCCGTCTCTCAAACAGAAAACACTTGTTCCACCTTGTGATGTCATGTGGTAATACAAGAAGTGCTCCACTGTGTTTTTAAACTCCACACACCTTCACTAGAATCATTTGGATCATTTCAGCCCTGGAATTGTCGATCTCTACTGAGCTAAAGGTAAAGGTTAGTTTCGGTCATGTTGCTTTATTCGTACCCGTAGGTAAATTTGTTTTTCAGATTTGAGAAGCAGGTTCCACATTTCACATTTCATTCATCCACATTATAGACAATAAACACGTATAAAAACATAATCACAAACTAAAGTGTTCCAGTGTTCCAGTGCAGAATGGTTTGTTCCATCAACAATTAGTTAAATTCATCCATCGCACTTGGCTAAAATCACAATAAATATTAAATATATATGAAAACACGTGATTTTTCCAAGACAAATGTACTAAAATTGATAGATAAGTAGATTACAATTTATTCATAAGTCTGAAAGCCGCTGGAATGAAGCTCCTTTTAAAACAAATTGTTTTAGATCTTGGGACTTAAAGCCTCTGACCAAACTCTGAGTTTAGTGGTTAGTGGTTTAGTCGTCTTCTAAAATACTGTGTGTAAAATCCCTCAGTCGTCCAGGTCGAATCCAAGGCAAAGGAGAAATGTGATTTTTCAACTGGACAAACGTTTATTTAAGTTGAAAACATTTTGCAGCTCAGTTCCAGAACTGGAGAAGCAGCTGGGATGAGCTGGGAAACGTTTTCGACCTAAATAAACGTTTGTCCAGTTGAAAAATGTATTTTCGCTGCAAAAGGAGCTGTTAATTTGAAAACTACTACTATCTTCATGACATCACAAGGTGGACCAGAGCATTTTGAGCCTTGCAGATGTAAACAGACTAAAAATAAAGTGTTACTCAGACACGTGTGAATGAAACAAAACACAACTCCAGGTAGGGCTGCTCGATTATGGAAAAAAAATTGTTTTGGTCAATACTGCAATCACAGTTATTCAAACGATTAATTTTTAGTGACACGATGCATTTATTCAGCATTTCTCTCTCTCTGCCAAAAAACAACAACAACAAAAAAAAAAACACTTTATTACTGATAATTTACTCAAAACTTTCAAACTGAAAATAAATATAGGCTAAAAAATATGAACCTTAAAGATTGTATGGAGGATTTTTTTTTGTTTCAAATTGTCAATGATAGATTATAGAGGTGCAGTAGCCTTGTAATTATGATGACCAAAAAAAGAGAATAAAAATTCATCAACTCTGGACGTGGTGGGGCTAAACATTTGCCAATAGATAACGACACTGCCTCGTTATCTGTGAGCTGACAGGCTGTCAATCAAACTCCCTACGTTTCTAGTGTAACTGACTTGCCTGCGCGCCGCCGGTACGTGGTTTACGTACGCCTGTCACGCAGTCCACAGACGCAAGACGCACAGACGCTGTTTACTCCACCAACGCAACAGTTCTTAGCGGCTTTTTTTTACCTATATCTTCCTCGCAGTTCACACAAAGTTTGTTGCAATGGCGACAAGAATCCAGGAGCAGTTCGCCGCAAAAGAAAGTCCGTTTTTGAGGTCGCTGAAAGAAGAAGACAAGGGGAAAAGCAGCGAAGCCAAACTAAGGTGATTCTTGAAGATTCATTCCAGCGATGGCGCGACTGAAGCAGACGCAGGGTCTAAAGACTGACGCACTGGTCCACAAATTACTCCTGGACAGGAAACTTCTGCTTATTATGAAAACGTACTTTATTTCCAAGAGCTAGTCAAACGTTTTTTCAGGACACGAAAGCGATATCCTATGTCAAAACAATTTTCAAGGCAAAGAAAGAGTCCGCTTGCTGCTGCGTGTTGTAGCTAGTTCATTCGCACTGAATCTCCGCGCAACCTTCTCTGCACCCCTTTCCTGCTCCTGTCCCCGCTGCCCGATCCACTCTTCCCTGCTCCTCACTTCTCCGGGCACGGAATCTCCACACACCCGCTCCCCCCGCTCCTCACTTCTCCGTCTTGCCTAACCAACACTGTAGTTAGTTGTTTACAAGTCATGTGCAGTGCACCGGCTGTAAACAAACCTGTTTCTGGCGTAAGGAGGAGGAGGGAGGAGGCGTTTCTACGTAGGAGCTGTAGGGGAGGGGGGTGGTTTCACGCATGCGCAACATTTGAAAAAGGACAAACAGTCGCTGGATTTCTCGTTCCTTGGAAAATCCTCTATACAACCTTTAAAGCAGTTTTGTAATGTATAAAACATAAAATGAATAAAATACACTTTGAACATGAAATAAGGCATAAAAAAACATAAATGTATCCAAAATAAACTGAATATCCAGCTGTTATACAATCTCTATATTTAAAAAATCTAATAAATACACTTTATATAAAAAAAAAAATCCCAAAATAAATAAAGAAAGAGAGAGGAAGGGGGAAGGAGAAACAGGGGGAGGCAGAGAGTGAGGGAACAAGGAAAGGAAGAGAAAGGGAGAGAGAGGGTAGGCAGCAGAGAGTAAGTGAGAGACAGAAAGTGAATGAGAGAGAGGAGAGAAAGAGAGGATCAGAAAGGAGGAGGAGAGACAGAGGAGGCAGAGAGTGTGTGAAAGAGAGTGCGAAAAGAGGAAGGAAAAGAAGGAAGGAGGGAGAGCTCTAGGGACAAGGAGAGAGTGAGCGAGAGAGAGAATTAGGGCGGAAGAGAGAGACTGAGGGAAGAGGAGAGAGAGAGAGAGGAGAGAGGATAGAGAAGGAGGGAGAGAGTCTGATTAAAGTGACTTTGGTCAGGGTTTGTTTAGCCTCGTCAGAAGTGACCACTGAGAATGAAAGAAAAAAAAAAAAAGCTCTTGAAGTAAAATGAAGTTGAATGTTGTTAAAATGAGTTGTTATTCTTGGCCGCGCGGCGATGAACACACGAGGAGGTTCTGGGTTTGACTCCCGGGTCACACAGGTCTGCATGTTTTTCCCTTTTTCTGGGTGGGTTTTTCTTGGACGCATCAACTCAAAGTGTGAACAACTGATACTTTGCGGCTGATTCATCAACATTTCCTGGGTTTGTGATCCTAATTATAGGCACTGCTCTGTCTGAAGCTTTATTACACTTTAATCTGTCCATTCATTTATTTTATTTATTATTTTGAGACAGGGACAGCGCACAATTTTCATATCAGCCTTGACAGGAGAGATTCATTGTACATCAGAGGTAATTTCCACCTGTCGTCCCTGGGCAGATTCATTGATTGATTGTATTTAACTGATCTTGGCTGTCAACTGTTCTTGGAGACCTATGTAGCATGTTTTGGGTTTTGTGTCCCTCCATCCATTTTCTTCTACATATCCTGGGCCGGGTGGCGGGGGCAGCAGTCTAAGCAGGGATTCCCAGATTTCCTTCACCGTCACTTCGTCCAGCTCCTCCGGGGGGATCCCAAGGAGTTCCCAGACCAGCCGAGAGACATAGTCCTTCCAGCTTGTCCTGGGTCTTCCCTGGGGCCTCCTTCTGGTGGGATAAGTCCGGAACACCTCAAGGGGGAGGCGGCCAGGAGGCATCCGGAACAGCTGCCCGAGCCACCTCAACTGACTCCTCTCGACGTGGTGGAGCAGCGGCTCTACTCCGAGCTCCTCCCGTGTGACTGAGCTCCTATCTCTAAGGCAGCGCCCAGCCACCCTGCGGAGGAAACTCATTTCGACCGCTTGTATCCATGATCTCGTCCTTTCAGTCATTACCCAGAGCTCATGACCATAGGTGAGGGAAGGAACTTAGGCTACGTTCAGACTGCAGGGCTTAACGCTCAATTCCGATTTTTTTGTGATATTCGATGTTTTTGCGAGGTCGTTCACATTTCCAATTAAATGCGACTTGTATGTGACTCCAGTGTGAACATTAAACGGCCCAAAAGTGTCCCGCATGTGCACTGGAGACACGATGACGTCAACCGCAGCGAGCGTCTCTGTGTTTACGGAAGTTGTCCAAACATGGACGCAGCATTGAGCACCTGGAGATTTTAAAGTTCCTCTCGTACCGGAGCCAGAACATGAACAACTTACTTGTTTTAAGGAGGAGATTGAGAAGGAGAAGGACGAGGTTTTTGGCCGTGGTGTTTTGTGGGACAGCGGCAGCGACGTCCGTTGAAAGGAACGTGTGGATGTGGAGACGGAGCCAAGAGTGGTGAGTGGTGATGTGCTTCGCTTCAGTGACACGGAGTTCATTAACAATTTTCGCCTACTTCAGCGCAGAATAGTGACGTTTGTGTCTTGTTGATAACATGTAGGTTGGATGAATGCACTTTGGCCGTTCAGACTGAAGTCGCATGTCAAAAGATCAGATATGTATCGGTTTCAGGAGCACATATCCAAGTGTCCTGGGTCACATTTGAAAAAAATCTGATCTGTGTCGTTCAGACTGTCATTAAAAGATCAGATACAGGTCACATAGGGGCCAAAAAAATCGGATTTGGGTCACTTCAGGCTGCAGTGTGAACGCAACCTTAGTTTGAGCAGTAAATCGAGAGCTTCGCTTTTCAACTCATTTCCTTTCATTTTCATTTGTTTATTTGTTTGAGCCAGGTCCAACAAAACTCAAAAACAATAACAAAAATAGTGATATGTACAGGAACATATTTGGGACCTGGTGCTCAAAAGGAGTAGGATGAAGATTAAAAAAAACTTAAGGAGTCTTACCCCAATTGTTTTACATAATCACGTGGTTCAGTTTTTTTTTAAATATAATATAAACACCTTTGCAGTGCTTCTCTCTCTCCTTCTCTCTGTCCCTGTTTACTCTCTCCCACTCTCTCTTTCACGTGCCCTCTCTATGTCCTTGTCTTTTTCTTCCTCTTTCATTGCTTCTCTCTCACTCTCTCACCCTCTCTTTCTCCTTTTCCCATCTCCCTTTCTCTCTCTCTCTCTCTCAGCTTCTCCTTTACTGTCTCCCTCTTTCTCTTTCTCCCACTCTCTCTCACACGTGCCCTCTCTCTGTCCCTGTCTCTCTCTCCCTGTCTCACTACTTCTCTCTCTCTCTCTCTGTCTCTCTCTCTGTGTAATCTCTATCTCTCTCTCTCTCCCTCTCTCTCCCTCTCTCTCCTCTCTCTCTATCTCTCTCCCTCTCTCTCTCTCTCTCCCTCTCTCTATCCCTGTTTCTCTTTCCCTCTCTCACTGCCTCTCTCTCCTTCTCTATGTCCCTGTCTCTCTCTCTCCTTCTCTCTCCTCCTCTCTCTCTTTCTCTCTCTCTCTCTCTCAATGCTTCTCTCAATCCCTCACATGCCCTCTCTCTGTCCCTCTCCCTCTCTCTCTCTCTCCTCTCTTCTCTCTCCTTCTCTCTCCCTCCCTCTCTGTCCCTGTCTCTCTCTCCCTCTCTCATTGCTTCTCTCTCTCCTCTTTACTCTCTCCCTCTGTCTTTCTCCCAGTCTCTATCTCACATGCCCTCTCTCTGTCCCTCTCCCTCTCTCACTGCTTCTCTCTCTCCCTCTCTATCTCTCTCCCTCTCTCTCCTCTCTCACTCCTTCTATCTCTCGCTTCTTCTATCACATGCTCTCTCTTTGTCCCTGTCTTTCTCTCCCTCTCTCACTCCTTTTCTCTGTCCCTAACTCTCCCCCTCGCTCTCTCTCTCCCCCTCACCTCCCCGTCACGCCCTCTTCTCCCTCTCCCTCACACTTCCTCTCTCCGTCCCTCCCTCTCTCTTTCCCTCCTTCCCTCCCTCCCTCCGTCCCTCTCTCCCTCGCTCCGACATGGCTCACTTTGATCTCTGCTGTTTCCAGGTTTAATCTATAAAAGAACAAGGACAGGCCCCAAAGACCAAGTCCCAGATCAGACCCAGAGCGCGTGCGACGTGTTTGGAGATTCAAAGATTAACTGCAGTCCTGCCCCCCCCCTTCCTCACACACACACACACACACACACACACACACACACACACACACACACCTTCCTATAGTCAGGTCTGTGTAATGGAATTTAATGTATTACAGCTCTAGATAAGAGAAATCCTCCTATAGATTTCACTCTGCAGTAATGTGTCTTTCACTTTGTTCTAAAGCTGCTGGACTGTGGAACTGTCTGAACTCATGACACAAACTCTTCCCCTCACATGTGGCGAAAAAGAGAGGCGGAAAAACCATATATATGATGATGGAAGAGGCTGAGACAGAGGTGACAGAGGTCAGAAAGATTAAAAACGAAGAGTGACAGATTCCCCCGTGTGAGGTTTTGGATCTGAAAGACAGTGAAGTCTACCCAGGCTGGTGCCACCTAGTGCCTCCGCTCAATTGAATTTCTCTTCAGCGACAAGGTCAGGAATCAGAATACATTAGACAAGGGGTGTCAAACTTATTTTGGTCCGGGGGCCGTATCCAAACTACTATGATCCCAAAGGGGCCGGATCAGAAAACTCATGACATATAAACCCCCAAAAATAGCAATAAGTTCAAATATTGGTGCAGAGAAACACAAATCTATTACAGAAATCTTTTTTAATTAACGAACTCTTTCTTTTACAAAATATTATAATATTATGAACAACCTGAAACTTTAAGAAAAATGCAATTTCAACACAATGTTTTAACATGAACTTGTATGTAAACAGGAATAAGTCAATTTTTGCTTGGAAAATCCTGCACTCGGCTTCACTTTTCTCATTTTGGACATTTTTCTGATGAGGGTGTCACGGTTTGACAACAGTCAAAACAATCGTCCTTTAAGAGCGTTTGGAAAGAGACAAGTCTTCATTTGTGCTGCTCTGGTGGGAGGGGCCACGTACAGAGACACTGGAGATGCTGCTGTGATAAACACCACAGAAAATTGCCAATATTTTAATAGAAAATATAATTAAAATATTTTAGTAGAAAATCAGCCGAGGGACACATTAAAGGTCTTGGAGGGCCGGATCTGGCCCCCGGGCCTTATGTTTGACACCTGTGCAATAGGCGGTTTGCAAGAAGGAGGCTGAAGACTCAAACAAACGAAGCGACCGTGGACGTGTAACCTGTCCATTTTACACTGAACTGGACTGTGTTTTGGGAGACAAGCCCAGCGTTTAGACTACTTCATAAATCCTGAGCACGCTCGCTGTGTGTGACGTCGCTGTGTGTGACGTCGCTGTGTGTGACGTCGCTGTGTGTGACGTCGCTGTGTGTGACGTCGCTGTGTGTGACGTCGCTGTGTGTGACGTCGCTGTGTCCTCCAATGTGCATGCGGGACACTTTTGGGGCATTTAAAGTTCAAACTGGAGATCACATACAAGTCACATTTAATTGGAATTGTGAATGATCTTGCAAAAACAATCGGGTTTCACAAAAAAAATTGAGCATTAAGTCCTGCAGTCTGAACGCAGCCGAAGTGAATCTTTAAGCCGATCCTCTGTTGTCCTCCTTCGACTAACTAGGCCCATACAGTTACCCGATAGTACACTTGTTTTACTATTATTGAAACGAATACGTTAAGAGCTGGAAATATGTTTAAAACCAGCTCTGAGGAAGATTTAAAGATGGATTAGACAACAGGACCAAAATATGAGTAGATCAGTTTGTACTTACCACTGCAGTTCTTTACAGAGGGCGGGGCATTCGTCACCAGTGTGGGGGTGATGGGTGGCTTCAACTTCACCTGAAAAAAAAAGTACACAGAAAAGTTGTCAGGGCATCTGGTTTAAAATCTTTCCTAATTATTTTGATTTCAGTAGCTTTAATGACATACCAATGAAATAAGTCCTAATAGGTGCGAAAAGAGGCAATTAATATTAAAAGGTGTTAACTAACCTTTTCTACGTTATGCATACATTTACAAGTATTACTATTACTTCTACTGCAACTATAAATACTACTACTATTATTACTATCAGTACCACTAATGCCACAACTACTACCACTATTGCTTAAAGGGCTCACATTACGTTATTTTCTGATCTATGTTATAATGTTGTTTCCTTATCACAAACAGACCTGGAGTTGTGTTTTGTTTCATTCACACATGTTTAATGCACCACCTTGTGATGTCATGTGGTAATACAGGAAGCGCTCCACTGTGTTTTTAAACTCTATACATCTTCACTAGAGTAATTTGGAAGATCTCAGTCCTAGACTTTCCAATCTCTGCTACACTAAAGATAAAAGGTCGCTGTTAACTTGAAAACTGCCACTTCTACTGTTTCGATACGGGACGTTTGGTTCGGTGCAAGGCTGTGCACGAATGATTTTGTGCAATTTGTGTGTGTTTACATTTCGCCACTACATGTGCAGCTACACTGAAGGCTCGGCTCTTTAATATTCATGAGGGAACTTGTCCATGATTGGGGTCCCAGTGTTTCCTGCAGCGCTTTATAGTTAGGACGACCACCTTGACAACAATGGCCCCCTGCCTTGACTACGTCTGTCCAAACCACGTCAATCCTCGCACAAAACTACGGTCGTTGAACCCCGGTCCTCACTTTTGACTTTTGCCCCCCCTCCATACCTCCCCTCTGCCATACCTGCCTCATACCCGCGACCTCTGTCCCGAACAAAAGGGTATTTATTTTCAACCACCGGGGACATTGTAACTGCAGCAGGTCTGCACTTACTGTGGACAAGTTGGTTTTTCTGGCCAAAAATATGTAAAAGTAAAACTTCATGCTGGAACTGTTAGTGCTGCACTTTAGTTTTTGAAAAGTTTTGTTTACTGTTTACACGGAATTTATTTTTTATAATATTTCATACATTTGTTACTTATTTCGGAATAATTTATTTAACTTATTCGTCAAGTCTTTGCATTTAATTTTCGTTTGAATATTTAACTAATTGATTTAATAAAAACATAAATAAACAACAAGCATTCTTCATTTTGTTTTCATACTGCACCGAAAATGAACCGAACCATGAGCACAACACCAAAGTACGTTCTGAACTTTTGATTTTTGTGTATCGTTACACCCCTAATGTAGACAGACTAATAATAAAATAAAACAACTCCAGGTATGTTTTCTTTTGACATAACATGGTTTAAAGCTCACAAGAGTCAATTTTGCATAATATAAGTCCTTTAAAACACAAATACTATGTACTTCTACTCTTTCTATCATGTACGGCAGCAGTACACTTGTTATAGTCCGTTTGACCACTGATTCGAAGCTCTCGCTCTCTGTATAAACATAATTGACTGAGCGTTTATATCGACTGGCTCCAACAGATGAACAGCTCGTTGTGTCCTTGGGCAAGACACTTAACCCACCTCCCCTCCAGTGTCGGCGTACACTTGTATATGAAAGTGTAAAGTACTCTGACTGCCTTGAAGGTGAAAAAGCGCCTCGTACAAAGCGCATATTTTAGTATAACTGCCCGTACAAGATTTTCTCCGTTGTTGATATATTGTTTAGTTCCCGTGACAACGCCGCAAACATAACAGCTTTCTCTTTCTAGCTTCTGATTCCCTCTTTACATTTCTCAGAGTCGGATCGATGCCCGTAATGCCCGTTCTGCAAAGCGCGAGCACGTCTCCGGTCCCGCTCCAAACGCAGATGGATTTTCGGAGTCGTATTATCAGTTTGGGCCCCGTAATACTCTCCGTTGAACTGTGCCTCGTGAACATCGACTGGTGTCCTCCGCGGAAACAGCCCTGTAATCTGGATCACTGTGACGCAGAGAGGAAGGGAGGGTTTAGAGAGATGGAGAGAGGGAAAGAGAGAAAGAGAGGGAGAATGGGAGAAGGGGGAGGAAGAGAGAGGGAGGGAGAGAGAAGGAAGGTTAGAGAAAAAGAGAGAAATGGGAGAAAACGAAAAAGTAAGGATGGAAACTGGACTGCGAAGAGAAGTAAGAGAGAGGGAAGAAGGAGAGAGAGTTAAAGAGGAATAATAGAGACAGAGAGAGAGAGATGTGAGTGATGGAGGGAGATAGAGGGAAAGAGAAAAGAGAAGGGAGGTGAGAGAGACAGAGAGAGAGAGAGAAGAGGTCAGCAAAGGACGAAGGGAAGTACATAGGTAAAGAGAGTGAAGAGACAGAAAGAAATAAAAAGGGAAAAAGTTAGACAGGGGGAGTGAAAGTGAGAGTGACTAATGGAGAAAGAGAGAGAAGGAGAGAGAGAGAGAGAGAGAAAGAAGGTGGTAAATAGGGGAGCATAGGGGGCATGGACAGAGAGAGAAAAGGAGAAAAAAACTGAAGATAGTAATGGAACAAGAGAGAGACAGAGAGAAGAGAGAGAGAGAAAGAAGAGAGAAGGAAAAGAGAGAAAAGGAAAGACTGTGATGGAAAAAGAGAGAGTGAGAGAAAGAGAGAGAGAAGGGAAGACAGTGATGGAACAAAAGAGACAGAAAGAGAGAGAGAGAAAGAAAGAGAGAAACAGAAAGTGAGAGAGAGAAAGAAGAGAGAAGGAAAGACAGTGATGGAACAAAAAGAGACAGAGAGAGAGAGAGAGAAAGAAAGAGAGAAACAGAAAGTGAGAGAGAGAAAGAAGAGAGAAGGAAAGACAGTGATGGAACAAAAAAGAGAGAGAGAGAGAGAGAGAGAGAAAGAGAAGAGAGAAGGAAAGACAGTGATGAAACAAAAAAGAGAGAGAGAGGAGAGAGGAAGAGAAGAAAGAGTGATGGAACAAAAAAGAGACAGAGAGAGAGAAGAGAGAGAAGAAGGAAAGACAGTGATGGAAGAAAAAGAAGACAGAGAGAGAGAGAGAGAAAGAAGAGAGAAGGAAAGACAGTGATAGAACAAAAGACACAGAAAGAGAGAAGAGAAAGAGAAGAAAAAGAAGAAAGTGAGAGAGAGAAAGAAGAGAGAAGGAAAGAACAGTGATGGAACAAAAGACACAGAAAGCAAGAGAGAAAGAAAGAGTGAAACAGAAAGTGAGAGAAGAGAAAGAAGAGAGAAGGAAAGACAGTGATGGAACAAAAAAGAGACAGAGAGAGAAAGAGAGAAGGAAAGACAGTGATGGAACAAAAAAGAGACAGAGAGAGAGAGAGAGAAGAAGAGAGAAGGAAAGACAGTGATGGAACAAAAGACACAGAAAGAGAGAGAGAAAGAAAGAGAGAAACAGAAAGTGAGAGAGAGAAAGAAGAGAGAAGGAAAGACAGTGATGGAACAAAAGAGACAGAAAGCAAGAGAGAAAGAAAGAGAGAAACAGAAAGTGAGAGAGAGAAAGAAGAGAGAAGGAAAGACAGTGATGGAACAAAAAAGAGACAGAGAGAGAGAGAGAAAAGAGAGAGAGAGACAGAGAGAGAGAAGAGAGAGAGAGAGAGAGAGAGAGAGAAGACAGAGAGAGAAAGAGAAGGGAAGGCAGTGTTGGAAAAAAGAGAGACAAAGAGAGAGAGGGAGAGAGAGAGACAGAGAGAGAGAGAGAGAGAAAAGGGGAGACAGTGTTGGAACGAGAGAGAGAGGGAGAGAGAGAAAGAGACAGAGAGAAGAGAAGACAGTGTTGGAAAATGAGAAAGACAAATAAGAGAGAGGGAGAGAGAGAAAGAGGGAAAGACAGTGATGGAAAGAGAAAGAGAGAGAGAGAATGGAGGATAGCAATGGAGCATTAAAGAGAGAGAAAAACAGTGATGGAACAAAAGAGAAAAAGAAAGAGAGAGAGAGAGGGGGAAGACAGTGATGGATCAAAGGAGAGACAGAGAGAGAGGGAAAGACAGGAGGGAGAGGAAGAGGAGCGATATCCTGCACACTAAGCAGTAGTTGTGCTGAGTAACACAGATGTGAGTGTTAATCGGCCTCATGGAGCTGAGTGCATCTGCAGACCCCACGCACCATCACACACCACACTGTACTCTAATGCACTGTAACGCACAGGAAACTCAAGAGACGGGCTTTATGTCAACTTATATAAGAATAAAGGAGTTTGGGAGAATCATTGTAAAAGTGATTGTAAAATTATTTATTATTATGTTGTGACTCTGTGCCACTACTACATCTCCCACAATGCACCGCAGTTTTTTTCCCGTAAAGTGACTGCATCTCGTCACTAGAGAGGCCAAGAAAACTCCACAAATTTTCCCAAAAATGTCCAAAAAAAGAAAAATTTACGCAGAAGGACGGCTATTTCATGAACGTGACTGAAGGAGTAAAGTGAATGTTTTAACTTAAACCTTTAAATCAAATCCAATCCACTTTATTTCTACAGCACATTTCGTAAACAAAACAGTTTCCCAAGTGCTGCACAAAACAGATAAAACATACTGTAAATATAAATATAAATTAAAGCTCTACTTAACTCTACTCGTCCTCATTAAGACAATAAAACTAGTCAAATCAAATAAGAGCAAGAATACCAGTGAATAATAAAAAAGTAAAAAAACAAAAATAAACAAAATGAATCAATATGAAATGAAAAATCAAATACAGATTTTACAGATTTGTAACATACTGATATTACAGTTACAGTTGCAGTTTTAACTTTATAATCGGCCCTTTGACAATAAACATGATCCAAATGTGGCCCTTGGTGAAAATGAGTTTGACGCCCCTGCTATATACTGTATTTTTTGGACTATAGGTCAAACTTTTTTCATGGTTTGGGTGTTTCTTGCAACTTATACTACACTGTGATCTATATATACAATTTTTTATACTGACAGTCTCAAGAGGCTCTAGTCTTGTGTGTCAGTATCTGCTGCTCCTGTTCCTCCTACACTTGGCTCTACTGCGCATGTCTCCTGCAGAAAGAGCCTCTGTCCTGCTGCAAGTAGTGAAATATGCAGCTGAAAACAATAATCGAGCTGCAGAAAGAAAGTTTGGAGTGAGTGAGAAACTTGTGAGGGACTGGTGGACAGCGGGGATGGAGAACACAGCTTCACGGTAACCAGGAGTGTGCACCGTGCAATTTTCCCGAAAGTTACTGGATGGATCGACAAAGCCTGAACTTCAGTGACACCAGAAACCCTCCTGTCGGGATTCAGAAAGTCCGGACTAATTCTAACTGGAACTGATGCTGAGTCTGACGACAGCGACACAGAAGAGGAAGCGGCGCTCTGTTTACCTCCGGAGGTCGCGGAGTTGCTCAGAAGTGACACCGAGGATGAAGAATTGAATGGATTTAGTGATTTGGAGTGAGATGGAGAGTTTGTTAAACTTGTTCTGTTCTGTTGTTTATGTTATAGTTTATCTGAAGAACTGTTCATATGTGACGTTAACAGTCTGTTGTTCTCTGTTCTATTGTTGTTACTAGAACTTGACTTTCAAGATGAAATGTTCCTGGTCTCTGATTGTATAAAACACATTTCACCCAAAAAGTGTGACTTGTATATGTTTTTTCTTCTTCATTATGCAATTTTTGGCTGGTGTGACTTATACTCCGGAGCGACTTAGGTAATTTAAGACCATAACAATGGTGGCGTCTTTGTTTGAGTGTTGTGATCTCCATGTGACTAGAAGATAAGTAGATCAATTAAGAGTTCAGCAAAGAAAACTGAACTGAAATAGGTGTATGATAAAAGTAGACTGTGGCTATCCAATATCCTGTTAAAATAAATAATTTACTTCATTACATATTCATCAGGTGTATAATGGGGTAGGGAGGTTACTTTTTGTGCGTTTTGTGCTCAATTTGTGTCTGCATACAAATTATTATTATTTTTTTATCTATAATTTTGATCATTTTGAGTGTACGTGTACCCAACACATTAATAATAAAACATGACAAAAAATAAAACTAACACACTTACAAACAGAAAATAAATAAATAAATAAAATAAATTAATTCAATAAAATACATATGTTCGAAATTAAAAATACTTTGACTTAAAAAAAAAAGCAGCAGATAAATTTAAATCCATACCTGTTGTCCTGCAGTGTCTGAGTTGCGTCCCTGCTCCCCGACCATCGTCACCTTCCTTTTGATGGGCAGCCACCCGATCTTCACCGGCGTCAGAAAACTCACTCTGCCCTGCTCCTTCTTTGGGGTTTGGCTTATCCTCGCTTTCTCCCAGCTGTCTCTTCTTTCCGGAGGAGACGGTATCCCGCTTTGAACAGACTCCTGACTCCCAAACGAACTCCCGCATAAGCTCGTCCCTCCAGAAGAAGATCCCCAACTCGACGAGACACCTCCTTTTGCTTTCCAAGTGGGAAAACCGGCTTCTCTGTCTCGAAAGGTATCTCCAAATTGTCCAGCTTGGTCCTGATTGGAACTTTGCTGGACTCTTTGCAGATGTTTGAACCATCCGTCGAATTGTCCTCCTTCCGTGGCGCTTTGTGGGCGTGATCTGCGTTCGGGACGGGGAGCAGAGGAGGGGTCCCGGGTCGGGCTTTCCCAATAGGACTCGTCTCCGGATCTACTCCAGGTTTTGCGGAGAGGGGCAGGTGGTGCGCGGAGAGACATGGTGATCGGGTAACACAGGTGGGGTTGGGTTACAGCAGGAGATCAGAGGGGAGGGGGGCTTTACGTGGAGGTCTTAATGAGAAAGTGTCAGATTAAACAAGCGAGTTGAAACTGGGCGCTCCACATGGGACACTGCAAAACACAAAACAGAAAAGATTAGAAAGAATTGTTTGACATAATTAGATTTTAAAAAGATGTCAAGTTTGTACTATGTAACCACCTGCTTGTCTACATGGAGATGTTATTGCTTTACCTGGAATATTCCACAGTATGGCATTAAAGGGCAAAGTTAAAAGTCAGATCAGTGAAAAGGCGGGTCACCCTTTTTTGCTTTTTTTGGTAACTAGGGGTGTGCAAAAATAGTGAAATATCGATATATCGTATTGTTTAATGTGATACAGTATAAATATTGTGGACTGCTGTAACTATATATCACCAAGAGTATTTTTTGGTATATTTTACTAAATTATTTTGTTATAGTGCTACAGTTTTGTTGTTTGTTTAGACACATTTGAAATGTTCACTGTTTTTATAATTAAAATGTTTATGGTTCATATGAACTTTGCACAAAAAGTGGTTTAACAAAGACTTTTAGTGTCACAGTCATGATTTAGCCTTTATTTTTTATTGAACCTCATCGAATCGATTTGAAATACATCATACTGAATTGTATTGAACCGGAAAATCGAGATGCATATCGTGGCCTATGTTTTGAGGTGTGTATCCTATCGGCAACTTCTTATTGATACCCAGCAATATTGGTTACAGCAATAATGTGTATTTTTAAGGTATTTTTAGTGTGATAAAACACACGCATTTTAATAAATGGAAGATACATATGTTTTATGTCAAAGCAATAACATCTCCAAGCAGGTGGTGGACCCCCTCTCACGCTAGAAAAATCCACCTTTAAATGGACAGTTTGGAATTTTGGACATAGGACCTCATTTCCTAGTGATCCAGAGTGTTGGAGACGTGTGGAGACACTTTTTTAAATATTCCATCCAGTCCTTGTATTTGCAGAGGTCACTGGTGCTAGACTAGTGCATGTCAATAGCCATAGTTATCCTGCCACTAGGTCTTATGTCCAAAATTCTAGACTGTCCCTTTAAGTAAATGTCTTGCATGTTACCTCTGATCTACAAGCAATATTATGTAATAAATTCCCACTTTGTTCTCATTACAGATGATTGAAAATCTGCTTCAGTAATAGCAGTGTACTATACAGAAAAAACTTTACTAACTATTAACTTTACAATAGCAGCTATTGTACTTGCTGTCAGTGAACTGATAGTTCACCTCTCTGTGATAATACTTCCACTCCATTGGTCAATCCATCATCGACTCGGATATTTTATTGTTGACTGAGTGATCGTGTCTCTCTGAACAATTAGTATGACTCAAGTTTTAAACAATGAAACATTGAAGCAGCGATAAAAGGATCCATAAGTCGCCTATTTGGACATTAAATGTAGCTAGTTTCTTTTTCTTTTCAACATTCAATTGAACCAGCAACATTGGAACAAAATAGTCAATAAAATAATTACAAAAAGATTATAAATTATACAAAACATGTCTTAATATTTCAACCTACATCCAGATCGTGACAAGGTGACCCAAAAAAAATCTTGCAACCCACCTGAGAGTCATGATTCAGTCTTTGGGAAACAATGCCCTAGACCGTACGTATAAATGTATGTTTATATTTATACAGTCCATGGCTCAGACACTGACAATAATGTTTAGTATAGTTGGATGATGATAAGATATGTGTATTTTATTTATATATATGTTTTTTATTAGTAGAGAAAAATAAACTAAATCAATCAATAAATATTAGGGGTGAGCAAAAATACTGAAATGTCTATATATCGTATATATCGTATATGCTGTATCGATATATCGCAAAGATTATTTTTTGGTATATTTTACTAAATTATTTGTTACAGCTGCAACAGTTTTGTTGCTTGTTTAGTGGAAAGAAACTCGTTTATGTGACACATTTGACATTTTCACAGTTTTGATGATTAAAATGTTTGTGTTTCATATGAACTTTGCACAAGAAGTGGTTTAACAAAAACTTTTAGTATCACAGCCATGATTTAGCCTTTGTTTTTACTGAACCGTATCGAATCGTTTTGAAATATATTGAATCATAAGTTCACTGTATCGCAATAAGTATCGTATCGTGGCCTACGTATCAAGGTATGTATCGTATCGGCAACTTCTAAACGATACCAAGCCCTAATAAATATATATATTATACATAAATAAGACAGTGGGTGCCATGTATGAGGAGCAAAAACAATGAATGCGCTTAACTTTTCTTCCAACGCAACATTAACTCAGCAACAGTACATAAAATATCCTCTTTTTAACACGCAAACCCCCTTCAGAGCAGCATGTATTTTATTCTGAAAAGCCAAACGACAGAAATGCTACTTACAGAGCGGACTCATAGCAGCTGTCCTCCGCTGGTCAACACTCACTTTGTCTCGAGCCAATGGTAGGAGCTGGTGGTACTACTGTCTCCGCTGGGGCATGTACTGTAGGATTGTGAGAGGTGCTTTGTCTACGAGGGGGGATAGTCAGATGCACCAGCCCAGGGAGGAGAGGAGGAAGAGGGGGATGAGGGAGGGAGGGAGTGGAGGGAGAGGAGGGAGAGGAGGGCCCGGGGGCAAGACACAAACAAACACTTACTTATGCTATTCTTACAACCGTTTAACTCTGTAGTGACCTATTAAAGTCACATTTACAAGACTCAAAGTTTGAAAGTTTGAAAGCTAAGACCAACTCAGGATAGTCTTACTTCATAAAACAAGTCTAAACCAGGTCTAAAAGAGGACTAAATCAGGAAACAATGTCAAAAAGTTGGATGAATCACGACTAGAAGCAAAACTAGAACCAGGTCTAAAACTAAACAAAAACAAATCAGATAAAACCAGTTAAAAACATGCGAAAATTGAAATAAAATAAGACTATAGGGATGTAACAATAACCGAAATATCGTGATATCCTATCGTTAAAAGTCTCACAATAATATCGTGGGGCATTACAATATATCAAATTACAAGTTCTTTTGCTTAAATACATGGTTTTATAGTAGCGCTGGCTAATAAACATCGAGAAATACATATCCCATGATTCATTTCAGCACAGACAACATGAAGAAATATGTTTTTTACTTGAATTCTTGGGATTATGATGGAAATAATACACGTCAAATTCTTGTCAGGGTATTTTAAAAGCAAAATTATATCAGCCTCTTCAAAATATCGCAATAAATATCGTGCCGTGAGCTGCATATCGTGATAATATCGTACCCAGAGATTTGGATATCGTTACATCTCTACTAGATATACACTACCGGTCAAAGGTTTTAGAACACCCTAATTTTTCCAGTTATTTATTGCAATTCAAGTCGTGCAAGTCCAATGAAGAGCTTGAAATGGTACAAAGATAAGAACTGAACAGCCAGAGGTTAAAAAAGATAAAAGATACACACAAAAAAAAGTCCAAGCTCTGCCAAAACTACCTCAGGAAAAAAGAACAAGATGGTAAACTTGAAAACATGGAGTGTCCAGACTTAAACCCCATCGAGCTGGTTTGGGATGAACTGGACAGAAGAGTGAAAACCAAGAAACCTACAAGTGCCACAAATTTATGAGAACTTCTGCAACAGACTTGGGAACTACTTTCTGAAGAATATTTGATTTCTGTTCTAAAACGAACGAGCCACGAGTGTGTTCAGCTGTTATATCTGCCAAAGGTGGACACTTTCATGAATCGAAAGTTTAGAATATGTTTTGGTCAACAGTAAACCGTAAAAAATGAATAAAGTGTGGTGTTCTAAAACTTTTGACCGGTAATGTAAACCAAGCACAGACAGGTCTTTAAAACATACATGACCAAATGAACCAGGGATAAACAAGGATACATCCAGTTCCTGAACCTAAACCAAAACGACAAGATTAAACTAAGAGTAAACCAAGATTAAAACTAGCCTGAAACTAGACTAAGGCTATGTTCAGACTGCAGGACTTAATGCTCAATTCTGATTTTTTTGTGAAATCCGATGTTTTTGCGAGGTCGTTCACATTTCCAATTAAATGCGACTTGTATGTGACTCCAGTGTGAACATTAAACGGCCCGAAAGTGTCCCGCATGTGCACTGGAGACACGACGACATCAACCGCAGCGAGCGTCTCTGTGTTTACAGAAGTTGTCCAAACATGGACGCGAATTGAGCACCTGGAGATTTTAAAGTTCCTCTCGTACCGGAGCCAGAACATGAACAACTTACTTGTTTTAAGGAGGAGATTGAGAAGGAGATGGACGAGGTTTTTGGCCGTGGCGTTTTTTGGGACAGCGGCAGCGACGTCCGTTGAAAGGAACGTGTGGATGTGGAGACGGAGCCAAGAGTGGTGAGTGGTGATGTGCTTCGCTTCAGTGACACGGAGTTCATTAACAATTTTCGCCTACTTCAGCGCAGAATAGTGACGTTTGTGGCTTGTTGATAACGTGCAGGTTGGATGAATGCACTTTGGCCGTTCAGACTGAAGTCGCATGTCAAAAGATCGGATATGTATCGGTTTCAGGACCATATATCGAAGTGGACTGGGTCACATTTGAAAAAATCAGATCTGTGTAAGTCATTAAAAGATCAGATACAGGTCACATAGGGGCCAAAAAATCGGATTTAGGTCACTTCAGGCTGCAGTCTGAATGTAGCGTAAGACATATAAACTTTGTCTTGGTGTAAATGATTGGTTGAAAAGTCTTTTGGCACAAATTGGTTGAAATGTCCCGATTATAGTGTATTCAGAATGTGTAATCAGAGACTTTGGGTTATACGCAAATTTGCATCAAGGCTCATCCCAAAGTTTCCATTGGTTTGTTTGAGGATTGACGTCCAAGGTGTTAAACGAGATGAGAAATTACAGCAAGTTGTGAAATCAGAACATGTTTCAGAAATCAAAACTTGATAAATCAGAAATGTG